TAATTTGTTTCAGTTACATTTATCAACATTCCGCCAGGTGATAGCGATGGTTTAAAAAACAAGTTTACATCATATTCTTATGCATGCCAGTGCTGTGTGTGAGGTAATTTAAGGTGGTTCTGACAAGTGTCGTCGGCATCTTCATATCCGGTCACATGGGCAGCAAGCCACTCCCATCCGGTCACATGGGCAGCAAGCCACTCCCATCCGGTCACATGGGCGGCAAGCCACTCCCACCAAGGAGGCCACACCCACAGAGTAGGTTCGAACAATTTTTGAAACCCACCACTGGTCAGTTCTAATGATATGACCAAAGTATAACAGTTTCTGTCTGTCAATATTAGTTTTAAGTGGTATTTTGGTGAGGTTTAGTCTAGGACTCTTTTGTTATTTTGTTTTCAGTCCATAGCATGCGTAATAGTTGTCCTATCTGCCTTTTCCAGCGTCCAAGTCACGCAGCCCTAAGTAGCAATCGGAAAAATTATTGCGTTAACTAATCTGCACTTGGTTGTGAGACTGATGTCTTTATTCTTCCAGATGTTATTCATGCCAGACGTTGAGTTCTTCTAGGGCAATATATGCCTTCTGATCTCAGGGCTACTTTCATCAATTTTAGAGCCCAGGAAGATGAATCCCTTCACTGTTTCAATGGTCTCATTGTTGACATGCACCTTGACCTGTGCATTCCCAGCCAGGAGGTGACACTACTTGGAACCATATCTTCCGTAACTTTGAACTGATCCGTAAAGTTTTTTGGTGGGGAAAAATGCAGTAGATCCTGGGTCTTTCTCCAAGACAGACCTGTGTTGGCCAGTATAATAAGGTTTATTCTATTTACCTACCACCACTATGGTGAGGTACTGTTGGGCTTTGAGTTGGGGGCTTTACAATGTATTCCTATGCATCTCTACTTAAAAAGCAATAGTGCTTGTTCTCAGTTTATTGTGGGCCCAGGTTCAATATTAGCCTCTCCAGGATGTTAAGGGGACAGACTGTACAAATGAAAGAAGATCACTTTTCTATGCCGTTGATGATCTGCACCTGTTTTCTATCAAATGCTTGAAGAATAATAGGCATTTTCACGGGTCTGCTTTCCTGTTTTCTAGAACAAGAATGCAACCTTCATGTTCTGCTGAGGATTTCGGCTGCACCAGAGGAGAAAAATATGTTCCCTTTCTACTTCAGTTTCATCTAAACACATTACAGTCTACACAATCCAGGCAAGACAAAGGACACAATTTGTAACGAGGAATTGGATACCAAGGCTTGTGGCCAACTCACTTTCTGCCCATCCCCTACTTTATTGAATAAACAATGTCCAGACAGACTATTATATAGCAGCCTTCAAAGACCCAGAATCTTAGGAGTCATGAGTTTAATTGAATTTTTAATGGGGAGTAGTGTAGGGGAGGGAAACAATCTCTTTAAAAGCTTGAGATGGAAAAATCACACCTATCAAGTATGTCTCTTTTCCTATATGCCTGCATATGTGTTTGGCTTTTAAGCTCTGCAAATCACATGAACTGTAGCTGTTTCCTCCTCCCTCTGCTTCCACTCCACACTCCGATTTCATTAGCTGCAACTTTTGCAAACTATTCCCAAAGCAGAAGCTCTAATCGCAGTCTTTGCTCTTCATCTTGGATTTTACTAGCAAATAACTTTCTTTCTTTCTTTCTTTCTTTCTTTCTTTCTTTCTTTCTTTCTTTCTTTCTTTCTTTCTTTCCTTGCTTACTTGCTTTTATCTTTCTTTCTCTCTCCACTTAACTCTAGTCTGGAAAACTGCAGGGCTACATTGTTTTAGCACAACACAAACATGATGAAAAAGATTCTCCCTTTCAAGAAGATCTCCTTTCTTCAGGTCTACCTTGTTTTTTGTTATGTTGATCTGGCCCTGCTTGGCTTTATCACGTGGGCTCTCCCCATGGAGGACCAGGATTACTACCTACAAGAAATCATCAATAGGAATCATTATTATTCTTATCCGGATCCCAATGAGGACTTGTCACCTTTCACGGAGCAACCAAGAGAAAAAGACTTGAAACCTGCTGCAGAAATAGAGGTATCTCCAAGATTCAAACCAGGCAAGAAAGAGTACAAATCAAAGAAAATTATCAAACCAAGAAAGGATAAATCAACTCTGGAAACACCACCAGGTAACTTTCTTCCCTTGCTTTCAAATTTTAATATTTTAGATGGGTCACAAGGGATCTCTGCTTCTCTATAAGCATAAACTCATGCATAATCCAGCCTCTATTGCAAGTAAATTAAACAATTTGTTATTAAAAGCAGTGATTATGTTTACAGGATAGTTTATCTCAAAACCTAGTAATTCTCTCTATTCTTTTAGGAAGACATACTCTTGCTATCACTCTTTCTTTGGACTCTTCATGTAAAGTTTTCAAAAAACCTTTTCTCTGTACTCAGCTTCCTTTTCTCCATGGCAGATGACCTCTGCTTGTCTAGTTAATATAGATATACATACAAAAGAAGTTTTATTGTGAAATTCATAGGGAAGAAAGGATATGAAATTTCTTTCTGGAACAACATGTGGATTTTGTCTTGTCTCATATGAAAGCTCTGCTCAACAATGATCAAAGGCGATAGTAGATAAAATTCAATTAATGTGAAATGAAAAACCCAAACAAACAGATACAAAATAAAAGACTGCAATTCAAAGGCTTTTGGACATTCATCTCCGATTTTAGCAAATATATTATTATCCTCACTCTTTCTATATAATGATGTTTAAGATTTTAAGCCTTTATGTTGCTACAGTGTACTAAGACACCATAAAAATAGTGTTTTGCCCTAATTTTTTTCAGGTTCTGGTTTTATTTTTTTTAAAAATACATTTTTTATATTAATTTTGTTCTTTGTTTTATTTATACGTTCCTGTAAAAAAAAAGAAGGCAAGTCTTTCTAACAATAAACAATACAATGTGTTTACGAGATAGTTACAAGAACGTCATTTGTAATGCATCATGAAAACTGTCAGGTACAACCACTCATGTATCAAATATTAAAAATAGTATATTTTTAATTATGAACAAAAATAAATGAATGAATTTCTTCCCTTCAAAGCTCTCTTGCTTGCAGGCACTAAGAATGGGAGTGCAAGAGTTTTACTGTATTCCTCCTTACACTTTTCTTTGATTTGGTTCCGGAATTACATGCTTAAATGCTGGACAGTTAGCCCAATCGTCTGGCACGGTAGGACTCTTGGAATGTGTTGGCACATCATGCACTGTTACATAACAATTACATCTTGAAATGGTGTCTTGTTGGATTAGTCTCATCTCAGCAAGAGACTTTGTGCTGCTGGAAGTTGACTGACAAATTACACTTGCCTCTCCAGGTCCATCTCTCTAGCTGAAAACCAGACACATTAATGTGCTGTTTTAGACAGCAATGGAAAAAGCATTTCTGCTACCCTTAAACAGTACTCCTGTTGGCCTAACCATGCAGGGCAGTCATGGATCTTAGTATAAGCAATGGGAATGCTGCCATTCCTTATTGTACAGCATCTTCAGGAAATAATTACTTTGTGCACAGGTGACTTTTAGAAAAGCTCTTGCGTTGATTGTTTGGATAGATTCTTCAGGACAAACAAATTTCAGAACAAGCCTAGGGATATTGTTTACCCGGAGGCATAAAAGTGGAGAAACATGTAGATAAGCAACAATTAATCTTAATTGATACCTTTGTTTCTATTTGCAGAGTTAATGGTCCCTTTCTGTAATAAGGTATTCAAGAAAAACAGTAGATTAAAGGCTAAAGAAGATCATTCAAGTGGCAAACATTAAACATGCCCTCCATTTCTTTTTAGCTTTATGGGGCTAAATGCTTGTTGAATTAATAGGTGTTTGTTGCAAGCAATCAGTTGGGTCTCTACTGGAATGAACCAAAGCCAAGGGATAAGAATTAGGAACATGTGATTTGTCCTTTGGTTGACAGCTATTACTGATCATTAGTTTGCTTTGAATCAGAAGTGGAATAAAATTTATATCAGAAAGTTACAGCTTCTTACATGCAATGCTCGCTTATGATGAGTGTACTCCAGAGGTGGGTTCCTACCAGTTTGCACCTATTTGGTAGAACCGGTTCGTCAAATCTACCGAACCGGTTAGAAGAGGTTCCACCAGTGGACCCGGAAAGCAGGCCACACCTACAGAAGAGGTTCCAAATTTTTTTGAAACCCACCATTGGTCCTTGGATATGATTATTCTACACTATCATGCTCCTATTTATAAAACTCAGTGCCTCTGTGAAAGGTAAGGATGACTACTGCGTTTGTGGTGCAATCAGAACATTGCGTGTGTTGAAGTTGTTTTAGCGCAAACCAAAGATGCCTTTTAAAAAACAAGTTTACATCCTATTCTTATGCATGCCAGTGCTGTGTGTGAGGTAATTTAAGGTGGTTCTGACAAGTGTCGTCGGCATCTTCATATCCGGTCACATGGGCGGCAAGCCACTCCCATCCGGTCACATGGGTGGCAAGTCACTCCCATCCGGTCACATGGGTGGCAAGCCACTCCCACAAAGGAGGCCACACCCACAGAGTAGGTTCGAACAATTTTGAAACCCACTACTGGTGTACTCCAATAAAGATGGAAATCTTGAATGCAGCTGTTACAGACATTATGCTCACAGGAAGTGGAGAGGTTTTACTTTAGTTTCATTTCTATTGACTTGAACAAGAAATTTATTTTGATGGGAACTTTAGTTTACTCACATGCAAAACAATGCCAAAGGAGCAGCTTTCTCTTACATAGTGTTCGTTATGTTATGAAATAATCAGAAAGCAATAATCAGAAATAGCAGCTTTCCGTAAAGTCTATCAACTGTACTCTTGTAAACAGTAATAAATTTGTTTTGTATCAGAGTGGCAAGAAATCTGAATAACCAAATTGTTGGGGTCAATCATTGGCTGAAGAGGGAATAAGGGTTGCCATATTGGTATAGAATGTCATGGCCATGACTTCCTTTCCAAGCCTTGGAAGCCTTTGACCACATAACTTTGGATAGCTGGCCTCCTTTTAATATTTGTAGAGATATGCAATTTATTTTTTGGAGCCCCATGCTAATAATGGGCAAAGTTAAATAAGAGATCAGCTCTTCTTTCTTCTCTTTCTGTTTCTTTTTTCCAAAGTAAGCTGCTAGGGGAGAAAAGTAGCAGTCTTGCCAAAGGTTTGACTTGATTACTTGCAGAAGGCTTTTGAAAATAATTTCATGAACCACAGAATCTTTATCTGTGCTTTACGGGATGAGAATTAAAAGGAAGATTTGGCAAGCATTTTTAGCCAAGGTTATAAAATCTGCAGGATGGAAGAGGGGAAACCTGGATTCTTCTAACACATAGATGACCAACAGGGGCCATTATTCAGTAATGGTAGGGATAGAGTTACTGCAAAGACTGGAATTCCCATTGGTTTTTTTTTATTTCTTACCTGTAGTTATGTCCCCCCCACCTTTTTTTTTTTGGTGCTGAGAGTTACAAGCAGGAATGCAAGCATCTGAATATAGAGCAACAGACTTGGAAGGGACCTTGGAGGTCTTCTAGTCCAACCCTCTGTTCAAGCAGGTGACCCTATATCATTCCAGTCCAATCTCTTCTTAAAGCCTTCAGTGATAGAGCACCCACAACTTCTGGAGGCAAGTCATTCTACTAATTAATTGTTCTGTCAGGAAACTTCTCCTTAATTCTAGGTTAGGTTTAGGTTTAGATTTATTAGATTTATATGCCGCCCTTCTCCCAAGGACTCAGGGCGGCGTACAACATTAAAA